TTCCAATGTGATCAGTCACATGACCACTAAATCATACCGGCATTCGTTTTTGCAAATCTCCCGTGGACGCTCACCATAGTGGAAGTATTTGCAAAGGAAATTAATACATACAACTCGGTATTGTGTATACACTGCTCTATGTGTTCTAAATCAAATGTCCAATTATAACGACTGAATTAGTCAGGAGCTAACCTAAATTGTTGTTTGCACAGTATCTAACACAAAGTACGCTTAACTGAATGATATTTGGCAACAAGATAATTCAGTTTTATCAACTAACTGCCATCACAATCACTTGGAAAATCTATTTGTTGAACACATTCGTCTGAAGTGAAGAAGATGACTAATTCCCTTATTTCTGTCTGACGTAAATGTCTGACTTGTCTACAAACACCTACTGTATATAACCTCAGCCAGTCTGAGAAAACAACACACAGTGGACTCATACAACAGACACATCAAATAAATAGGAGGTGAGAAATAGCTGTAGCTGTATCACTATCGATTAGTTTGTTGACATATTAATCAAGGATATGATTCATCCAAGGTCAGTATAATCACAGTGGTTAGATTGTGGAATGTGATTGAAGAAGAACTAGAGCGGTAAAAGTATAGTATAGAGACGAGTCAATTAGAATCGAGAATGTGGTTTTGTCAGATTTTGTTCCAAATTGAAATTTCACGAAGAGCGAGCAATAAAAATGCATTTGTGCACTGCCCAATACATTTAAAATATTTGTGAAGAACTACTTTTTGTCACTATCATATAAATGATAGTGTAGGACAAATCGAGTGCTCAATTCTGTCTTTGTAAATTCAATGTAACAGGTGAATCGACATTATCCGTATATCCTCACTGTAAACACTCATTTTGTGGACCAACTAATCAGGTAGTGCTTCTTGATTTTTGTGCTAAATTTATTCATCCATTCAGTTACAAATCATTTTTGCATTACTGCTGATGTACTTACTGTACTCTGCCAGTTATAATACCAATTATTTTTCACTACTTGTTCACTACTTGTTAACCACATATCTGCTCAGTGTCATTTTCGAAAGCAGAGAGCTTTTCAATTTAATCTGCTATCAATTTGATCCATTTAATACTTCCATATATCTAATGATGGATTGGAGAACAAGGTTTAATTCATCACATGTGTTTGTCACACACTCAATTGGTATGAGTGTTTTGTAGCATTGATTGGGAGGGTGAACATATAGAAATGATCACACGATATTCTCGTTGTAGCAGATCACATCAAATTGTATATTGGTAACTAGAAGAATAAAATAATCAAAACTTGTCAGTCCTATTCGCTCATCACCATTCATCTTCTATGTGATTTATGTATTATCGATCGATAATTTGTTGTTTATTTGTTTATAAGAAATTGATTTTTTAATACACATAGTTCCCTTTATTATCTTAAAGAGAGCAAGAACAAAGATTGGTGAAGAATAATATGAATTCATTTTATTCCGTTAGGTTCTGATCAGCTGCTACATCTTGATACACATGTATTGATCCTTAATCACACTCTTATGTATAAATATGTCAATATCTGTAATAATGTTGAATTTCAAATAATTTAGGTTGTAAGCAACTGATGAGAACCCAACGAAATAAAATGAATTCATGTTAGTCTGCACAAATCTTTGTTCTTGCTCTCTTTAAAATTGATTTTGCATTATTCATTGAATTACTGAATAAAAAGACAAGATAATGTGAAACATATTTCATGTTATTGAACAATGTGTAGCGTGGCTTCGAGTCCCTGTTGACTATTAAAACCGCTACCAAGAAAACACGTGTCAAACAAATCAGAAGGCGGATTAGAACCTAATTTATTTAATTGGCGATTCCGAGGTATCGAATGAATATCAAGATCGTGCCAAGAAATGGTACAAGCGGAAGCAAGGGAACGGAGTATGTACGAACAAAGCCAAAAACCGCGAAACAATGATTGAAGGTGTGGAAGCACAAAATGGCTGTAATTAGCACAGTTAAACGAAAGCGCATTGGTTATATTAATAATTGTTTTCATTAAACCAATCATGTTCTCGTAATAAAAGTAAGTCACTACATATGTTTAATCTTAGCTTAGCACAACTGGAATTATATCGTTAATGTCAAATGAACATTTTAGAAATCTACTCATCACGAAACTGTGTTAAATAGAAATTTTCGAAAAAATTAATGGAAAACTAGTCTGTTTTTCTTGTTGTTGTTGTTGTTGAGGTTTTTATCAGGAAAAGAAATTGAACAATCTGAGAAAATTTATAGGAAAATCAACTCATTACATTTGAACATGAATAAAGTAATATGTAACAAATTGTAATGGTTGTACACGTAACACTGGATTTACTTTGTCGGTTCCTCAATAATACCGTAATGTAGGCTGTCAGATTAAAAAAATACAGCTAAGTTATTTCTTTGAACAGGGACAAACATGTAATGACAGTGTGTTCAAGAAATTCACATCTACACATCAACTACATGAGGTTGAAATACTTATCCAAAAACAACGAAGACAATTTCCAATTGAAACGCAGTGAACGAATGAATAATCATCAGTTACAACTAGTGACTTCGTAACAACAGCAGTAAAATAAGAATTAATCATTGATATTTGACCTGAACAGTTTTAGTTGAAATAGACTTGAAAATGGAAGAATAAAATTGAAAGTAATTTGATGATGACCAGAGAGAAGAGAGAAGTCATACAAACAATTGCTAGGTGTGGAAACTGTTCATTATGTTCATAACGAACTAATCCAATGGTTGTTTAAACTCCTACTACGTTAATCTGATCTGATGTGTCTGTCAACTATCCCTGTTGCATGTGACCTACCAATTGAACACCATTATTATCCTATAGTGTTAGTGTGACTCATAATTTCTATTCATTTCGATGAGACATGCATTACTGGTCGGTATGTTTGTGCGTTTCGCCTAATGTCTGTAATTTCCTCAATTATTGTACTAATTGAATTATTTTTACGTTCAGAAAGGGATAAAGTTTAAATCAAAGTTGTCCTTGTTCTGACCATAGCTCTCACATAATTCTAGTAGTATATCTGTAGGACAAATTCAATCCTACAAACAGAGCTCACTTGATTTCAGTTGAGAATTTGCACACATCCGACCTGGAAACAACACAGTCGAAGTCTCACTATCATGTTCACTAATCTCATCTTAGTCACACGCTTCAACTCTCCTCTCCATGTGTCTCATGTTTGACTGTTCAATCAAACATTCACAGTATTAATATTATCGAAATATGTGATGCTTCTATTCTTCGTACAACATCTCGTCCATACATCATATTCATTATTCAGCTAAACATTAAATTGCATGATATGTTGTTTACTCGGAATTCATGTATTGATTATTTTAGGCTACTACAACATCAACAACATTATGTTCAATGTGAATTACTGCATAGACAAAATAATGTGATTCGCATGTGTCCATCATCCTCCAAATCTTTTATTCATACCAATCATGCCAGTAGAGTGTATGACAAACACACGTGAATTTAACCTTGTCCCACAAATCATCATTAGATAGATAGACGAGATTGTTAAATCGATCTTTCTAATATATTGATTGATCGTTTCGAATTTATATGTATTTCTGTATGCAGTTTGTCATATTTCTGGTTGCACTTTCATTACATGTGCTGCACACAAATGGAACTTGTTTGTTCATGTGTTTCATACATTTCAAATAACAAATTTCATCTCGTGTCAATATAGTGGTTAGGAGGTTAAGCGCACAACATGCGCAAGAACACCACAACCAACACCACCACCACCACCACCACCACCAACATCATCACCACTTCAGATTGACATACTGTTCATCTGAGTGGCTACACTTTTGCGACAATGCAAAGTCTTCTCATCAGTAGTTTATATAGACAATTGAGCTTGAAGTTTCTGCTACATTATAATAATTAGCGGAGTCAACATACAGACAAATCGCTGGTAAGATTTCCCAATAACTATCGAATTGAAACGGGCAAATGATTAGTAGTTGACAGAAAACTAAGGTGTAAATTGAATCTGTCTTCAAATCTAATCTTTCATCATCGAAATGTTGTTCGGGGAATAAGCGCATCGGTGTGTGTGAGTATTTTGACGAGATCAAAATCACGAATGTTTGACTAACCAATCACACATGAGACACATTAAATCAAGCATGCAGACCAGTGACCAGATACAATGCAGATACCAGACAAAAGCAAGCAGACACAAGCAAGCAGACACAAGCAAGCAGACACAAGCAAGCAGACACAACTAAGCAAACACAACTGACATTCCACACTACACACCACACACCACACACCAACAAGCTGAAAACAGTCAACCAATAATAATTCAGTGTATAGGATATACGATTGGTGGTAGAAAATTCTCAACGTGTCACCTGTCTGTCTCACACCCTCATTCAAAATATTATTTCTCTTCATTTCACAACCACAAAACAGGTTGCTTGATTATGATCGATACAGCTCGGAAGTCAGCTTGTGCATCAAGACCACCACAACTACCACCACCACCACCACTACCACCACCACCACCATCAACACGGTCGAAACAGACCACAGTCACACGATACACAACTGAGGAGTCGAGTGAATTAACCGAATTGGTATTGAGATATCGGGATGTTTGGAAAGACAAGAGTCGTCCATCTGCTGTTCTTCAGAAACAATTGTGGATGCAATTCGCACGTTACCTACACTCGAAGGGATGGCCGAGAAGAAACTGGACTCATCTGCGTCGAAAGGGTCTGCACGTGCTGAAGAAACTCAATAACACGACAATCAATCAGTGGGAGGTGTCGAAATGCAATCCCAATTCACCTGAAAATCACTCCAACCACACGTCACTCTCCAGTTCCAATGAAAATCGACACGTGAACGTGAACGGACAAAGTGATTCGGTAAGTTCGCCTTTCCCAATCACGTGTTAATTGTTTTCATCGAATTCAGGTGACCGAGAACCAGTCGAGTGTGCATCAAATCAACTTGCCTACACTCACCCCTTCACCAGTGATAACCATCACCTCCAAATATCCCACATCAACACTCAGTCCTCCTACAAACCATGTGCAACCGAATCCCCCACACACAACTGGTCCAAAAATTTTGAACGCATTCTCAACAGCTCACATGTCTCAACAACTGGTGATTCCACATGATGCTCTAGTGCTGCAACCAACCACCACCACCACCACCAACAACAACAACACGGTTGGTGAGGTGGCGATTAACCCTAACCGAGTCGCGTTACTGACTCCTCTCCATTGTGTCTCGTTCGGAGCCGCGAAAACCCATACTGCAGACGTATCTCCTATTCAAGAAGTGAATATCTCGAACTCACCATCCAACCAAACGAGTCGCATTCCTCTGACTGCAACAATTGATTTATCAACGTGTAGTGAGGACGAGGAGAGCTATCCAGAGTTGAGTGGAACGCGAAATCAGGCGAACACGAATCAGGTGAATGATTTTGGTCAAAATGCCAAGGATTGTATCACGTAAGTAGGACACCTCTTTTCAACTGACACGTTTCACCTTATGTTATTCCTGTTGTTGTTGTTGTTGTTGTTGTTATACTCTCTGTGAAAACTAGACTAATCAGTAGGATTTGATTCACACAGGCAGTGAGTGAACCACACTACGAGGTAGATGGATAGATAGACAAATAGATAGACAGACTGACGGACAAATAAGCAGTACTCTGTTCACTTACGTTCAATGGTGTTCCATCTCACAGAAGTGTCTTCGTCGCACGTTGTGCATCACTCAATATCTTGATTATTGTCGTTAATTTTGTTTGCGTGTGTGTGTGTGTGTATGCCTACTGAATATGAGGGTATCGAGTGAAAATTCCTATTTAGTTGTGTTTGTCAGTTGTGTATATGGTGTAGTAGATTTGATGATTAGGATATATGCGACGAATTTTATGTATATATAAGCATATGTATATCATGTCTCCTACATCGCCCTGGTGATTATAAACAGATGTTCAAACTGTGACTTGTTTTTGTAGATCCGAATGTGAGAGATTTCCATTGTCAGAGATGTTGATTCACAAGCAAATGAAGTGCCTAGATCTGAAGATTGAAATTCTCCAGATGAAGAAGCAATATTGGTCCGAGAAACTGAACTCATCATCGAAAAGCTGAATGTTGGGTGAAAGCCAATCTTCACATGAACTACCATTGTGATTGTCATCAATTCTATCCACATATGGATAGTAAACTCAATTGTAAATTCAATGTATACATATGTATGTATAGCTATTGTGACTGACGAAGATTGTTCTCCCTTTTCATCATTATTGTCTATTCGTGGTGTGTGTGTGTGTGCGTGTGTGTGTGTGAATTTTTCTGTCAGTTAGTCCTTTTGTTTCGAATCCATTTGAAGTGGACTGTTGTTCAATACTGCTCTGTTTCAAATGTTCACTACTCTATTGACTACTCTGTTGCATACTGTACATAATTAAATTTAAATGTTGGTTTTGTAAAAATCTTATTTTGTCTTTGAATTAATTTATGAACGTGATCGACAATTGGTTGTGTGGATGACGGATGATACTTGACTTTGAACACAAATATGTTAGAACTTTATCAATTTTATTTCTTATCATGATGATCAATTGGTTTGATTTGTATTTATTCTAGTGATTTCTGTGTAATTAACTGCTTCATTGATATTTCATTTATGATACATATTCGATATATGTGTAGAGTTGATGTCAACTTGAAATTCTTGATGACCACATGTGACGGAGATAGGAGAGAATAAATGGTCTCATTTGAATGATGATGTGAATGATAATAATAATAATAATAATGTTGATGATCATTAAGAATAAATGTACTTTTGTTGTATCCCAATAAATTCGATTATTGTATTTTTGACGTTTCTTGACATATTGTAAATCACTTCCTCAGAGTAAATAAATAACCAATATTATGTTAACTATATGAATTCGGTGTTCATCTTGTTGTGCTAATGAGCTATGGCAACTTGACCGATGCACATGTGTGCCAGGTGTTACGTTGTAGCTGACTGACTGAAGTTTGAATAGCATTAATGAATCACAGACACAGTAGATCGAATGTTGTGAACTGGTCGAAAATGAAGTGATTCAAATGATAAAAATAAACAATTTCATGAAGATTTCTTTCTTAGAGCATTGTGTACATTGGTGATTGGTAGAATTTCTTAAATGAGTGAGTATTGACCAATTGATGGTTAATGAGCTTTGTCATTAACATTATGCACTCAATAATAAACTCTTGTGCATATTTTGTGCCGAACAGATTAACCAATTACTTTCATTTAATAGTTTTCTGAAAGAGTCAGTTTAATTCGATATCATGGCAAAAACAATATTCAAATAATTGGTTCAAGATCAGATTTCGAAACATACACAGCAGTATGAACTGATCAATAATTTTCGACTGCATTAATGAGTGAATTGAAATGCCGATATTTATGTTCATAATTACTTGTTCACAAACTTATCATTGAATCATCATACTCATTCATGTGAACATGACAACTTGCACTCCGAACATTCATTTCATTAATTTGCATAATATGGAACAGTCTCTCTCTTCTTTGTAGTGGTTGAATCCAATGACAAATAGATAAATACAAGATCACCTTAACAAATACCAAACATTGATCACTTCGATAGGAAGAATAACTATGGAGGAAACAAACTCAATGTAGAGTAGTAATATCAGTAATAAGTCATACGTTCTATCATAAAAACATATTGCGTACTCAATGTCTTCAACTTTATGATCACAGATCATAAGCAGGAGATTTCGAGTGGCTAGTAAGCAATTATTAAATCTGTGTAGAAGAGTTCAAGTACAAAATATATCACAAATCAAGAATAGTGAAGAAATATTGAAGTGTCTAACAACTACTGATAAAAATCAATTAATTTTGACTAGAAAAATTCTATATAATTCGGAAATGCGCAAATCTATTCGCAGATCTAAACAAACATCATTTCACTACATAAATATATCGTAATTCACGACAAATTTTCTCGCTCAGTTATTCGTTTTCATTGCTGGTGCATGTATTAAAGCGATCTTTGCTTACATTTATGTAGAACAAGTTGGAAGACAACAAACTGTTTGAAATGATTTTTAATAAATAAATAATAATAATTAATTAATTAATTAATTGATTCAGCAATCTGCTAACGTATTCACAGGATTATTTGATCTCTCTCTGTTGGTAATATTCAAGTCTTACTAGTAACAGTGAACACGAGTACACCTTTTCTAATTCAAATTTTCTCATGACATTTGCTATTTTCTGATTGGTTGCCTCTTATTATTCGCTCATTTTCCGTGCAATTCAAAGTTGTGATTTCGTTACAGTATATACTGAGTTGTACGTTTTCAAGTTATCCTGTTCGAATTGCAGGTTTGTTCCATACTTCGTTTCCTCTCTATGCTAGTGGCTAACTATTGAACGGTTTTGTCTCAACTGCCGTTAACCTATCCACAATAGAACTGTTCACATTGCAATTACTCTATCGTTGTTCAATTCGCACGCACCGTAGGCCAACGGCAAAACTCAATACCGTAACCCGTCTCTATAAAGTCATAACACAATCTGGTGTTCACTTTAATCAATAGACAAGTGTAATGAATAAATGATATATTGCACAAAGTCGAGAAATGATGAGATTGCAGTTGTCGTCAACTTTCTGTTATGCATGGGTTCAGTGTAGCGCATCACGACATGCTGGATTATAAACACAAATGTGGTAAGAATGATGGGTTGAAAGGAAATGTTTGGTGAAAACCACAACATTGCTGATGACCTCAGACAAAGGCGATCATTGGAAGGAAAAGCATATTTAACTGATACAACTCATGGTACATTTATACTGAAATCACATTGGTGAACGAACATGGTTAATTGTGGAAAATTCCCATGGCATTCACAGTAGAACTCCTAACACTTAATGGTCAAGCCAATAATCTATGAAAAATAATGGTCAACTGGACAAATTAGAAGCAATTAATAAGACAAAACAATACGCATCACACAACTCTGGATAACCAATCAATCAATCAACCAATCAATGAACCAGGATGTTGGTCAGATGTAAATACAAATCGTTTGTGAATGTCTGTGGTGGTCGGTATTCGATATATCCCTTAAACTTCGTATACAATTCGTCTTGATAACCGTCCTATTTAACCTCAACGGTATATTATTCAGAAGGCGAATACGAAGCGTTGATTACGTTTATTTCGAGACCACACACACAGATGTCGAAAATTTACAGATGCATTAAAAGAGCATTAAGAGTTGTGTCGAACGGCAAACAGGCAAGCGAGCGACTGAGCGAATGTAAATAATCGAGTACAATCAAGCGAGCGAGAAAGCAGAGTCAACCATATAAATAACATGGACATATATATAGCATGTGAAATTAATGAGTAATCGAATCAAATGAGAGGTTAGTAATGAGACTAGCAGAGTGACATAAATGCGTAGGCCGTAAGAAATATTCAAGCATGCGTATTTCATACAAGCACAAAATAATAATAAGGGTACAATGAATTGTTATAGTGCGGATGGCTTTGTCCCCTAAATAAGTTAGCAAAAGGGCTTAACTGAGTTAAAAGAGAATAAACCCAATTGCACGTGAGTCGCTATATGTCGAATGGAGTAGTTTGAACTTTCACACGACAATGGTAACAACAAATGTAGGCACTGAATCCAGACTAATAATACTATCTTTACCAATGAAGTATTCATCTGACTCACACGGAACGACACTTCAGGTAGTGTTTGACTTAAGAAGCTAAATATTTTCACACTATATTAATATAGACCAAGTTGTAACTTAATTATGATGTATGAGATAGTAAAATATGATTTTCGACCTAATACATCCTCCCTTTCTCGAACAACTGGATCAAGACAACTTAGAGTACATAGTAGATAAGTTTCGAAGACAAAACAAACGAGCTTTCACGGTACATCGGTTTCTCCACCGAGTTATCATCCACCTGACCTACAAATCTTCTCCACCATCTCAGCACTTAACTCGCTCAAGAAAACATTAGGCAAATGCAAAAGCATACTAGAACACAACTAACAAACACCTTCAGTCTTCTGTTCTAAAAACACATATTTGAATTTGAATCAGGATCCAGTTATAGAATAACTTATCTTCAAAGTGATCAATTACCACAAACGCCCATTCGTCAGTAGCCATTGCAACATTACCCACTTGTTTTGTCATACAGATTATAACACTGAAATCTGATAAATCTATGAAACATAGTTTGTAAAGGCCAGTATTTTTTGAAAAATTATTACGTTTCACAAATTCATTCCATGTTGACACTTTCAATCATGTGACAGAATGATTAAGGAATGAGGAACACTTTATTTTCCATAAGAAAAAATTCATTCTCAAAACATCAGGAATTGTATTCGTTAAGATGAGATGAAATCGCGCGATCACATTGTTAATTCAGTGTGATTCATGTTCAGTATAAAATTGTTCGCATTGACTTGACGTGTCACTCACCCACTCAGCATAATATACCACTTCCAGTTTGTGTGAATTCAGTGTAAAATTTCCAGTGAAAATTGTGCTATTCAATGCAGCACTTGTCCAAAATATGGACGAAACGATGCTTCAGAGTGATTGGCACTGCACAAATATTGAATAATGAAAACATATGTGCTACAAATTCACAGACACATATCTTATTTAAGTCTATAATAACTATTTACTCAAATCTTATTTTGATTTACAATAACCTTCATTGTACCTACTTGATTATTAACATGATGGAGTTGACCTTCAGTTTCTAATAATTCGTACACTGACTAATCGATAGAATGGCTCACTTTTATTAGTACATTTGTATGAACTACGCTCTAGGAATTCCATCAATCATATGGATGTAGAAAAAATGAACAAATATGTTCACCACATCGACTTATTTGATTTATCTGCAGAAATTGACGGTACTCGAAAAAGGGAAGCACTGAGAGAAGAAACAGAACTGAAAGCAATAAACATTTTAGTCCTCCCTCCAAAATATACGCCAACCAATCGTTTTCGTTGAACACTCCTTGGACGGGTTTGTGATCGTTTACTGTCATTGAGAATACGAAGGTAACGTGTCAGTGTATGACAAATTTCCGTAGTTTCAATTCGTGTCGTTCGAGGTTTTTCTTTCACTGCGAAATACTCGGCGTTAAAAGATTTGTCGATCTCTATAATATGGTCGGCAGATAAAGCCAGCTCGTCTACGGCTTTCTTCTGAAACGGGAAAGGCACTGCATGCATCTGTTGAGGAAGTTTAGACAAGGAAGTTTTCTAAACAGGCCACCATCAAAATTCCTTTAACCAATTACCTCTTGCATTCGTAGCAACATGTTCGTTGCTGAGCCATGTTGCAGATCGATGTTGTTGAGGAGTTGATCTAACATTTGTTGACGGTTAGATCTCCTCATTTCACAATAGACCGTCTCAGAGTTTCATAACTTTCCGAAATATCACAAGTAAGCATACTGTATGTGACGAATCTGTTGAATTCGCGCGGTAGTGCCTCCACCGCTGCGAGGAATTGTGCACATGGATCAGTCACGCTGTGCTCGTAGAATTCAGTCTCTGTGTAGCACAATCAGGCTTCGACGTTGTCCGGCCAGCATGGCATTAGCTGAAATTAGATCGGTGTCATAGAATTGACCTTGAGTACATTAGCAGTCTGTTCTGTCATGCAGAATATGAAGTGCAGGAATGAATGAAGGGAAACAATATTACAATACATATGAATTAAAATAAAGCAATGATATACGAAGTTCTCAAGAGGAACAGACTCACAATTTGCGAGTTGATGTACAAGATAACGTTGGTTCATCAATGAAGATGCCACAAGTATTTGCAGTTTGACAACAATTTAATCAGTA